AACACATGTACGGATCTCCATGTTACTATTTCTTTTGAACATATGCTCGAACAGTTGCATTGGTTTTGAGTTCAAGTTACAATTTTGTTTACCCCCGGCATTCCCTTGGTTTGTTTTTCTTTTCCATTGTATATGGTATATATCGGCTAATATAATGTACTGTATAATTGTTATTGATGTCATTGTTTGTTTATTTAATTTGATTAAATTTAGTGCAGTTAATGGTCTAACATTAGATGTAACGTAATACAGGAGTAGCGAGAATGTAAAGATCAAGGTTAAGATGTCAATACAATAGTCATTCCGATGGACTTGATGTCCATCGATCGATCAGAGCAGACATTCCATAATACAGAAAGTGATAGTGTACCGACTCAATAACACTGGAAATAGGTACAGCTTCATAAAGAAAAACGTTGTATGCAATATTACATTACTTCAATATTAGAAGACAGACACATTCTGACGTACATGTATCATGCATTGACGAACTAAGTTAGTATGTAACGCATTTACCATCATTCCATGTTAATATTTATTCTAAATATTTTTATTAAGTGGTAGTTATAACAAAATTGTTTTTCATAAATACTTTTGTCAGCTTTATATGTTTAATTAATCTTTTAATTTCGACCACACTTACGCAATAAGTGAGATATCGTTTTCGCTTATTCATTTGTGTTTATGAAAGAACTGTCAGGGATAGGAAAGGAGTGCAAGTAATTGCCATCTTACACCCCTTTCAAGTGCCCTGACGTCACAACGTTCTGGGCATTATTCTAATGTATTTACATAATATGAGACACCGTATATGATAGAATGAATCACTGAAACAATGACAGTTCTGTCGTTTTGCTCTAGTCCTCCTGTTGTTATGTAATAAACAAGAACACAAAAGTATAGGCGACAGTGAGGCGACAGTGAGCTAACGTACTCTCGTTTACCCAGCTCATATCATAAATTCTGCGGATTAAGAGCAAGGTAATGAATATGGGAGTCTTCTCAACTCTTTGAGACAAAGAAGCTAATATATTAGCTTTATAATCAGCTTGCGAGGTGCGTAAATAAAGGTAATTAAGAGAGGCACGTTATAATTGCATACTAAGGAGAACTGTATTACACACAGAATCCCTTACAACATCCGATGTATCTACATGCACGTATGTTGACCATCTCATAAAGGTTCTTTATTTCTATTTTATCATGATATTTCATATGTTAACATGAATGTCTCACATAATAATTAGATTACTAATTTAGGAAATTAGGAAATTACGACATGTTACTGGAATTCAAGTGTTCTGCCATTGCTCATAATGCTTTTCAGGTTGGTTTTTGTTCGTGTTCCGTTTTGTATTCGCGATCACAGTACTATTATTAAAACCAGTGATTCATGGGTATTGTCATGTTTGTTCAAAATTGTGATAGAAAGAGAGACAAAAACACCAGAACGATTTGAATTGTCAATAAGATGTGATGAAACGCTAGCACAGATCAGAACCTTTAACTTGTTTACTATTTCCACTAAGTACGTGCTAAACTGCTGAATTTGGTATCCATGGCAACCATATGCTTTAATATCATATCTGGTTGAAATGTCAACACAACTAACTGCGAATTATAAATACATACTGTGTAAATCCCGTTGCTTTTTGAACATAGCGCCGTTATGTTTAATACTAAGCTGCTATCTTAGCCAACTGTTGTGTTTACAGCTGAAACGATTATAAAGTGAAACTTGATAGCGTGAGTGCTCATGTAATAAAAGTTTAGAAAGGTTACGTTCATGATACTAGGGTTCCAAAATAAGAATGGTATAAGTCAATAATCACAAACCAAATCAAATTCATACAAACATAGCCAAATGCTGTATAATACCGTCTACGTAACATCTAGATTTAAACTTCAATTACTCAATAGCATGAACCTGTTAATCACTGGGTATTTAATACCCTAGATATCAATAATCGTGTGTTAAAGCACGTTTTGAAGAGAAACTAAAGTTCACAGCCTATGGTACAGCAAAGAATGACTAATTTACCAATAAACTGAATTAGGATTTCAACTCTATTGAAATTGCCGACGGCGAGCTATAAACGAATGAAATGTGTTATCTATCCCCAGAAAGCCTAACAATCGGCCATGAATCCATACAGTGCGACACTTACGTTAAACCCTACCTCACACTGCTGTGAAGGACGAGCAGACAAACAGATCAAACTACACATGTAACGCATCAACATGCAATGAACAGAGACGCTGACGTTGTATCTATACGATGTTCATGTTATCTACGCTGGTGGTCACCTGATCACCTTAGCCATCATAATGCTCACTTTAATTTGATATTCCGTCTTTGCGTATTGTAGAGTTATCTTCTCTTGTGAGCAGGTATTGATTGTTAAGTCATTGGTTTGTGTGAGAAAATTACGTCGTCTCACAAACATATGACGTAACAACCAATACCTGCACAAGAGCAGATAACTCTGCAATACGAAAAGACGGAATAGTTTCTTTAACATCATGATTGTTACTTCAATATTGTGATGGTCATTTGTCAATATTGTGATGGTCATTTGTAAATATTGTGATGGTCATCTGTCAATATTTTGATGGTCATTTGTCAATATTGTGATGGTCATTTGTCTATACTGATGGTCATTTGTTTATACTGATGGTCAATTTTATAAATCACAATTGTCATTTTATCTATCAAAATGGTCCTTAAATGACATAAGCTGTTGATATGACGTTCAACACTATGCAACCAATTATCAAGATGATCACGTTACTCTGATGGCCATTTTATCTGTCAAGATAGTTACTAAAACTATCACAATTGTCCCTTATCTACCTCTGTGGTATTATTAGCCGTCATGATTGTCATTGATAGGATGGTAATTGAGAGGAGATTAGTATTGGGAAACACACAAACTCTTTCTTTACAATAATATCAAAATTTACAAATGATTACATATAGTTTACGTTTTTTTAATTGTTTCAGTAACATGAAAGCATCCAGACTGAAATTACAGACTACACACCATGAGTACAATATAAATACATCAAACATCAATACAAAACTGAAAAGCTAATACCAGCTACCTAAATTAAAACAAAAACAGTTTTATTTATACTAATATATTATTTCTGATATACTTTCCTTCATATCATGTACAAAAGATTCAACAGAGTACATGTACATCCAATCACGTAGTTATATCAAGGGTCATTGACATAACTACGTGATTGGATGTAACAGACCCACAGCCGGAAACAAATTACGTAAACATCATTTTTGTTCTGTGACAGATTTGAATTTCATTTTTACAAACTATCGTGGAACTAATGAAACCTGATATATGATGATGATGAATAATTTCAGAAACGAAATATAGATAATTATTTGCTCTCATCACCAATAACTTCCAGAGGATTTTCGGTATTAATCTGGATAGTATCAGTGCCGTCCAATCAGACCGATTCCGGAGCCAGTTCTATTTGGCGATTGCAATGTCTACGTATAATCGGTATTGTAATGATCTGAAAAAAGATTGTCGCTGGTATCGTCTGACTACTCCTACATTACCAACAATAGCAGATCTCTAAATCTTCACGATAATATTGGATGTCACATTCATAATTAAGTTTTGTACAGCAAGAAATGTAGTTTAAGAAACAGCATTTGGTCAACCTACACAAAAGGGAGATAACTAAGCCATATATCAACTTTGACTAACACTGACAGTATCTATGCGTTCGAATGCATTTACACCTTGTATACATATATATATTGATGAATAATATCAATACATTTGAATATAAGCGAGAGGTTGTGAATTACCTGATCTTACTATAGGGATGAAATCTCTATCACAATTTTGATAACAACTTTCCTTTTAATGACTTGAGCGATCGACTTCTTCAGGTTAGATGATATCGATATTGGACGTCTAACTTAGTTTTGTAAAACTTGACTAATTTTGATTTCAAGAAAAGTCAACCAAGAAGAAATATGTGCTCACAATTTGGCAGATTATAATAGTTTTAGATATGTTTTTAATTAACCTAAAATGTACACTAGAGAAGTATAATGTGAAAATACAACGATATATTTACAACACTGATCATTGAAATGCACAGGGAAATGTGTGTTACTATCACTATAGCATATAACCTATCGTATATAGTCACATGCATTACAATAGATCAATTGTAGTTCGTTCAATAATAACAGAGGGTTCAAATCATCAAACTTGTCGTTATATTAATCCTACCATTTACCAGCAATGTTGTAGCCATATCTATTTGGGTACATGGCTCGTTATAACTCAAAAAACTAAACGTTGACGAATAGTCGGATCGTTAGTGATAACGATCATTGTGGACTAGAAATCGTTTCGTGGTGATGTGCGAGGTAAGGTGATCTAAACCTCTTACTCATTCTACATTTCGCTCACCAAGTCTTTTGAACCAGAATTACAAAAGTAATTTACAAAATAAGTTAAATTAATTAAAAGTGCAGTAATGTATATAGTTTTATGTTTTGTTTCTTAGATTGTATATGATTATATCGAAAATGATACCAACACACAACCATTAACAATACCATCTTTAAAACCAGCAGTGATGAGTTAAAAAAAGAACATAGGGGACATTATTGGGATGTTGATAAAATCACCGAACCTATTATAAAACAACGCCAGGGAATAGGGACATCAGATCATACATGTATGACATCGACAGAACAAAGGAAATGAAATCTGAATGGAACTAGTGATTCCAAGGGCACTATAGTTGTGTAGAAAGAACACTTACAGCGTGCCCTGTCGTATCAAACATTAATGGAGGACAAAATTGAAACGCATTAAATTAAAAATCGAACGTTTATAGTTTATAAGAAGCACAAATATACAATAGACAAAAATGGTATAAAAATGGAAATTGAAAAGTACAAGAAAACACATTGTTGGAAAACATACAACAGTTATTAGGCTTACCGATGTAGTATTCCGCCGAACACGAGAGGGATAGAAGGAGAACCAAGCACGAACACAGTATGTATATGCTAATCATAGTTCGTCAAAGATCTGGAAAAGAACCAAGATAATGTCTCACGTAAGCACAGCTGTTGTGTTGTTTAACCAATTTCAAATTAATTAAGTTCAAATTTGAAATACAATCCACCAGTGTTTAAAAAAGACCTTTTTACTAATATATAATATATTAGGCAGTTAAACTATCATCTATCACTAGTTTGCTAGTTTTGTCGAGTTTGATGCTGCAACATGGTCGATGTTTAGGTACTGGGAGTATCCTGTACTGCTGTGAGCCGATGGTGAGAACGCCGTGTACTATAGTCTATGCTCACACCCATGTCATGTCGCTAATGCTGCCGTACCCACGTTCGCCCCACATTGACTACATACGACTCCAAACCAGCGGCACGATCCCATACACTACGTATCAAAGAGATCAGGAGCACACAGATCCAACTAAACCACTGTACTGTTCGCGAATGAGTGACAATTTCTACCAATAATGAAACTAATTTATAAGCATCAATAAATTGATTTTCTATATTTGTTCTGCTGAGAAAGTGTGGTATATTACGCAAACACGAGCACACTAATACGAACCCAATGCTATCATACCGTACGATAACTAAGGGAATCAGTGGGGCCAACCTCCGTCATTGCCAATCTGATACATCAGATTGTTCTATTGGTTGGTTATTCCCAAACAGGGTAGAACTCGCGGAATCGATTGATTTGTGAGGGCGTGGGTTAACTTATAGGCCAGACCTGCGATGAAAAGTGATGGTTAGTTAGATGTAGGAGTAGCGTATACGTACACACCTCAATTAATCATCACAGTCGATTTCTGATCTAATATAGCATTAACCACGAATGCTACAGAGACCATGCGCTGTGGGTGTTAAACAGACACGTCATAATTCTATATCTACATGAGACTTTAATTCTTATTCTTGATTTGAAAAGGAAAACAAAGTATACCTCAGTTTTAAAACACTATAACAGAATCGGAATGCAAATACTTATATATCAACACCACCAACCGGAAACAACATAATCCAATACAATAAAGTAAAGACTGAATTTTCGGGACATACTTTTTGTGTGTGAATATGATTCGTCTTTTCTCGATCGTAAATTTAAAGGTCGATCACTTCAGTATAAAAACATAATTTTAAAGATATATAGAAAACTGAAGTAAACAAATTGGTATATAAGACGTGTTTTTCAAAAATAATTTCTCTTAAATGAGTCTATAAATAAACAATAATTAATGAGATACACATTGCATTTCGTTAAACAGTCGGCATTCTGAAATAATAACCTCTGATACTAACATTCCATGTGGCGTGCATGGTTTTGCCATTTTTGTTGGTGTTCCAAATATCTTTACATCTTAATTTCTTGATTCCTAATGTTGTCTTTTCTTATTAAAAATTGTCTTAATGAAAAGATTTCAACTGATTATTGAGGTCCATATGGCGTTTTAGAACTTGTGAACAAACTGATTTCTTGTTTTCGACCTGCTTACCATTCCTTCTGGGTTCTCGCAGAGAGCGTTGTGTAATATTATTAAGTCATTTAAGTGGTTCTGATGTAAAGAGGTCTATTAGCCCTTTTGTTTTATCTGTTTGAACCCCTGCAGGTCGGGGTCGCGAAACGAATATATCTACTGTTACCCACTGCATATATCGTAAAAGGCCACTAATGTGGAAACCAACTGCAGTCTTTGGGATTTGCTTTTGTGCCCTCTATTGCGGGACAAAAAATCGATCCAAATAAATCTACTGCACCAATTGCAATAATACGGATTTTTCTATTTCTTTCTATTTCTACATGTTATTACTTTTTATTTGGTTGGCAATACCAGGTGAGAAAAGCAATCGGATCTGTCCCCAGGCCGGGATAACCGAAGTCCTTAGTTGTTATTCCCTACTTAGCGTTCAGTATTTAAGGAAAAATGGCAACGACCGGTTCACCCGTTGTCAGTATAATGTGACCGGGCAGAATGCTATGAGTGAGTTAGCACTTTAAAAGTTGTTTTAGGGGTTGTAAATATATTATTAATATGACGGGTAAGGTAGCTTATAACCTTACGCGATAACCCCCCAAAAGTGATGCTGAATCACTCTACTACTTTATGAATTATTGTATATTGTTGTGCTCACCAGATACATTAATCTACCAGAACATGGTGAAAATTTAAAACGTCATTACAATTCTTATGAGTCAATTGTATACTTTCTCTTCATTTTACATATCTGTATCCAGATTGATAACGTCGTCTGATCTGATCTGTGCTCGATTGCTGTAGAAGAAGCATATAGCCTGATAAAGGCATTTGGTTGCATGACCCAGTGATTGCCACACTTACCTCGTACTGTAACTTTATGAACGTGAAGAGAGCAATCCGTCCGAAGACATCACAGCTAATTCATCATCTAGTGCAGTATGTACCACGTGTGCTACAGACACCATTGACGGTATGGTTTTGTACATCCAATCACGTAGCTATATGTGACGTCACTTATCTCTATATGTGACGTCGATTGGGATTCGTGAATGAAAATAGAAAAGATACAACCAGCATCAACACACAAGAATAGAATCGTTATTTCGAAATTGTACTTTACACTGGCTCAGTAACTTTTGATCCATTGGTAGCGCCAAGTAGAATCAGTTAATAGTGTCTGAAGGAATGAACTGCAAAACAAATAAAGGATACAATTTGTTAGGTTACACATAAGCTTGAGTCACCTTTGTCACTTTAAATGACCCCACACCTTATGTGATATCAGTGGCCCTTGCCGCCATCCCTGTTAACCTTAAGTGACCATTGTCTCTTCCATCTATAACTTTCAATGACCCTTACACCACACCTTACGTCATGTTAATTAACCTTGCACCCATCCCCTTTAACCTTAAGTTTCCAATGACTATTACATATCCTCTATATTATTAAGTAGACGTTTGTTAACATTACATATTTACATTTGCATGGCATTGTCACCATTGATGGGACTTTAATTACCATGCAGCACGAGACATTATTCTTAGCGTATTAATACAACACTGACCGGAACTACAATATCCAATGTAAATAAACATGACGGCTGCTGAAATATCGCTATGCATTGTGAGATTTGACAATGTCATCGTAAATTTGTGTGCAAAATAAAAAAATAAAAAACAACCCGCTTTTATTACAACAAAAACAAGACCAATGTCTGCAATATCGTACAAAATGCACATCGGTTGAATCACCAATTCCGGCAATGGAAACAATTTTAACGCTCATGCAATTTATCAAAAATATCGTCTGTTACACTGCACTGATCAACAGGGGTTCGTTACAAATGTCTGAAATACACATATTGTATAGACCTACTGACACATATGTTACAGACCTACTGATATGAGTGTCAGCACACATAACCATTCAGACATTTGTAATGAACCCCTGTGCTCCGTCGCAAGATCACTCACTTCCAACGCTATCAGTTTCACGCGTCTCGCACCCACTGTTTCCTCAATTTCTGTCGAAATATCAAATAACGAGACTGTTATAGAATCTACAGACTGTAGTCAGATTCCCATACAATCAACAAATAAATTCACGTCTGGATTCTTCACAAAATGAGCAATTCGAATTAACTTCCAAAAATAACTCCTTCGTGGAGGGCAAGGTCGGATTTACGGTGGTCACTGTATTTATCCATGCGCTAAATTTGTTTCGGGGAAAAATCGAAACAATTTCAAATCTAACTTTCAGCTCAGAGTTCTATTGATAAACTTAAATCACCATATAGACATATCATACACAATTGTATTGATACTGAATTGTGGAATAACATTGAAGTGTTTGTTAAAATTTCAAAGTACTACTTTGTTTGCCAATCAGCACGCGACAAACACGCTGTTCAAACTATTGAACGAAATTGTGTGGACTGTCGATAAGGCGGGCATTTTAGATTTTAAATATAAATTATAAGTTAAAAAAAGAACATAAGAGGCAGAGAAAACGTAAATATAAGTATTGAACTGTTTTTGTATGGCATTTATTATCTATTTGAATGACACAGCTTTGCAAACAAACAAATCATAAAGCGCTAGCGCGCATTATGTTGTTTGCTTGCAAAGCTGTGTCATTCAAAAAGATCATAAATACCATGCAAAACTGTTCAATGCTTAAATAATGACTGACAAACCAACACCCGCTTTTGTGAAAGTAAAGCAAGTTTTGACAATAATAATAATATTAGTGAAGATAAACACATTCTTTATTTTGATAGTTTAGATATCTACATTAAACTAATCATTTGTTATTTTGATAGTTTAGATATCTACATAAAACTAGTTATTTGTTACATATGTTATTTTTACTCAACATTATGAGAAAGGTGCTTTTTGACATTTACAATCGATTTTACTGCATTCGTATTAAACTGGTGATGATATTGTTGAGTTATTTTATATTTCGTTTTATTTTGACATTTCGTTGGCTCCTGTTCCTGTGAATGCATGTTTTGAATCGAATAATATCACATGTTTCCTGAAAGCATAATGCATCAAAACAATTTATGATAACACACTAATCACAACAAAGTAATTTAGGACGATGAAGGCTCGCACAAAGTCCATAGAAACAGAGACAACTTGTAGTTCAATCGGCTAAATTACCAATCCAAACAATTAATTGTTTTCCAAACCGTTCGAGCTATGTTAATGTGAATGTAATAAATCCAACACATCGCATGTCTTATTCAATTTTGCTTGGTAGGTCCCATTTCCTCTTGAGAAATTTAAAACCCCAATCAAATTGAATAATGAAACAGGTATATACTTGAATCATTTTAATGTTATATCTCTCGAATAGAGCACTTTTATTGTGATGAAGTAGTACATAAATTTCTTGTGGATCTTCAAAAAGAGTTCAATAAATAGTTGATAAAACTGAAATGTTTTCTAACACTACTGCCGTCTTAATTTTAAGTCAAGCTTCATGTAGTGAAGCTTAGGAGGCACGGTAGTCTAGTAATATGACGCCGGGATCGTGAACAAAGGGTTGTGGGTTCGAGTCATGTCTCGGCACAATCTGATTGAAATCATCTGTTACTGCCGCCCCAGGGTCACGTTCAAGTGACCTTTAGATGAACCAATCAGAGTCGCGCTGGCAAAAGTTTGCCAGCGAATCGGAATATCATGGTTGATAGATAAATAGCGAGGGGTATCGAACAGATTAGTTTTCCAAAAAAGATATGATGGCGGGAACTGACGTTTCTACGAGGCCACGGAAAACGTACCCATTGGGTAATAATTGCGTAGGCAATACCGCCATACAGTCTTTCTTCTCTAATAAAGCTTCGAGTTTCTTTTTTCTGTTCGGGTTTCAGACGATCAATCACAAATAACTTCAGAACTTTCGCATCATTCTCATTAATGTCCGCCATATTTGTTACAACTCCAAGCGCCCTTTTGAAAGAGGATCTCTGATTGGTCAAAATTTAATGAGTATTTATAAAAATAAAGGTCACCTGAACGTGACCATGACCGCGGCACACTCAGGTGTTCAGGCGTAGTACAAAGCTAACGAA